AAATATACATATATTTATATATAAATATATATATAAATATATATAATAGTATGAGTTATTCCATAAATGCCCATACATTCTATCAATTTCCTCATCGTGAAGTGCCTCGGTCACCACAGTGAAGGTGTCCACAGCCACATGCGCGTACTGCGTTACGGCTTTGACATAGAATTCGTACAAGCGCAGCGCTGAAATGAATGTCTGATCGTAGACGTGTTTCTTGTCACTCGGATTGTGTACTAAGCCAATACTGAAAAGGCCCCTGCAGTTTGAAAGTTTGTTTTCAATATGTTTTAGATAGGTTCTGCATGTATGAATGTATAGTGGCAAGTACACGTATATATTGCATGTGTAAACGCAATATATATAAATTGATTCAAGGTGTATTACAAGTGAATTGCGTATCCTTTTTGTCACTCGGCCTGTTCATCAAGGCAGTGTGGAGGAGCCCCTCAGAAGGTCAAGAGGTTGTTGCGAACGCATTTTGGGTGTGTTCTACTTACATGTGAATATAATACAAGTCATTACAGGTATATACTGATTATTCAGAACAAGTGCTATTACATATACAAAACAGAACTTCTCACATAAATATTGTCACCCACACATGTATTTATCTACCCCTACACCTATAGATTTCTCGCTTCTTACCCCTACCCCTGCCCCTATTCACTCACTCTTCTTACACCTACCTCTACACATATACACTCTCGCTTCTCACACCTATCCCTTCACCTATACACTCGTCCTTTACACCTACCTCTACATGTATTCACTCACTCTTCTTACATCTACTACTACACCTACACTTTCACGCTTCTTACACCTACCCTTATCCTATACACACACGCTTCTTAAGATCATACCTGAGGTAGCAGTTGGTGATATCCCCCATACGCTTAACGATCAAATCGAGATTGCGCAGAGGCACCTTAAAGCCCCGCTTCACAGTTGGCTCGGGCGACACAACATTGCGATGCACTGGCGCATCCATGGTGCTGTGCGGTTGTGAGGTGGACTTATTCTCGGACAGTGAGGTGGTGTCTTTGAACTTCCCTTTCTCTCCTCCATCGTCTTGGGGACTAGTATCTGTATGGGAATGAGATTGATAGTGAGGTCATTTATAGAACAGCTACATCCACATCCACATGTAAAGCACCTCGGTGACTTTGTATGTATATGATTTTAGGCGTGTGCGTCAAAGCGTATATTAGTAAGTGTCTATATGTATGTGTGATTGCTGTCACTGTATGTGCTAGTAAGTACTCATATGTATGTGTGATTGCTGTCACTGCGTGAGTTAGTAAGTGTCTATATGTATGTGTGATTGCTGTCACTTTATGTGCTAGTAAGTGCTCATATGTATGTGTGATTGCTGTCACTGCGTGAGTTAGTAAGTGTCTATATGTATGTGTGATTGCTGTCACAGTTTGTGTTAGTAAGTGTCTATATGTAAGTGTGATTGCTGTCACTGTATGTGTTAGTAAGTGCTCATATGTATGTGTGATTGCTGGCACAGTGTGTCTTAGTAAGTGTCTATATGTATGTATGATTGCTGTCATAGTGTGTGTTAGTAAGTAACTATATGTATGTGTGATTGCTGTCACAGTGTGGATTAGTGAGTGTCTATATATATGTGTGTTTGTTGTCAATGTATGTGTTAGTAAGTGCTCATATGTATGTGTGATTGCTCTCACAGTGTGTGTTAGTAAGTGCTCGTATGTATGTGTGATTGCTGTCGCAGTGTGAGTTAGTAAGTGTTTATATGTATGTATGATTGCTGTCACTGTGTGTGTTAGTAAGTGCCTATATGTATATGTGATTGCTGTCACAGTGTGTGTTAATAAGTGCTTATGTATGTATGACTGCTGTCACAGTGTGTGTTAGTAAGTGCTTATGTATGTATGATTGCTGTCACAGTGTGTGTTAGTAAGTGCTTATATGTATGTGTGATTGCTGTCACAGTGTGGGTTAGTACGTGTCTATATGTAGGTATGATTGCTGTCACAGTGTTTCTTAGTAAGTGCTCGTATGTAAGTGTGATTACTGTCACAGTGTGTGTTAGTAAGTGCTCGTATGTATGTGTGATTGCTGTCACAGTGTGAGATAGTAAATGTTCATATGTATGTATGATTGCTGTCACTGTGTGTGTTAGTAAGAGTATATATGTATGTGTGAATTCTGTCACACTGTGTGTTAGTAAATGCCTATATGTAAGTGTGATTGCTGCCACTGTGTGTGTTAGTAAGTACTTATTTGTATGTGTGATTGCTGTCAGTGTGTGTGTTAGTATGTGTCTATATGTATGTGTGATTGCTGGCACTGTGTGTGTTAGTAAGTGCTTATATGTATGTTTGATTGCTGTCACAGTGTGTGTTAGTAGGTGTCTATATGTATGTGTGATTGCTGTCAGATTATGTGTTAATAAGTGCTCATATGTATGTGTGATTGTTGTCACTGTGTTAGTAAGTGCTTATATGTATGTGTGATTGCTGTCACCGTGTGTGATAATAAGTGCATATATGTATGTATGATTGTTGTCACAGTGTGTGTTAGTAAGTGCTTATATGTATGTGTGATTGCTGTCACAGTGTGTGATATTAAGTGTCTATATGTAGGTATGATTGCTGTCAGTGTGTGTGATAATAAGTGCTTATATGTATGTATAAGTTCTGTCACAGTGTGTGTAAGTGTGTGTCTAAATGTATGTGTGATTGCGGTCACAGTGTGTGTTGATAAGTGCTTATATGTATGTGTGATTGCTGTCACAGTGTGTGTTAATAAGTGCTTATATGTATGTGCGATTGCTGTCACAGTGTGTGATAATAAGAGCATAAATGTACGTATGATTGCTGTCACAGTGTGTGTTAGTGTGTGTCTATATGTATGTGTGATTGCTGTCACAGTGTGCGTTAGTAAGTAAATATATGTATGTGTGATCGCTGTCACTGTGTGTGTTAGTAAGTGTCTATATTTATATGTATGATTGTTGTCACTGTGTCTGTGAGTGAGTGTCTATATATATGTGTGTTTGTTGTCAATGTATGTGTTAGTAAGTGCTCATATGTATATGTGATTGCTGTCACAGTTTGTGTTAGTAAGTGTTTATATGTATGTATGATTGCTGTCACAGTGTGCGTTAGTAAGTGCTTATATGTATGTATGATTGCTGTCTATGTGTGTGTTAGTATGTGTCTATATGAATGTGTGATTGCTGCCACAGTGTGTGATAGTAAGTGCTTATATATGTGTGATTGCTGTCACAGTGTGCGATAGTAAGTGCTTATATGTTTGTGTGATTGCTGTCACTGTGTGTGTTAGTAAGTGTCTATATTTATATGTATGATTGTTGTCACTGTGTCTGTGAGTGAGTGTATATATATATGTGTGTTTGTTGTCAATGTGTGTGTTAGTAAGTGTCTATATGTATATGTGATTGTTGTCACAGTGTGTGTTAATAAGTGCTTATGTATGTATGACTGCTGTCACAGTGTGCGTTAGTAAGTGCTTATGTATGTATGATTGCTGTTACAGTGTGTGTTAGTAAGAGTATATATGTATGTGTGATTTCTGTCACACTGTGTGTTAGTAAGTGCTTATATATATGTGATTGCTGTCACTGTGTGTGTTAGTAAATGCCTATATGTAAGTGTGATTGCTGCCACTGTGTGTGTTAGTAAGTGCATATTTACATGTATGATTGTTGTCACTGTGTCTATGAGTGTGTGTCTATATGTATGTATGTTTGCTGTCACAGTGTGTGTTAATAAGTGCTTATATGTATGTGTGATTGCTGTCACAGTGTGTGATAATAAGTGCTTATATGTATGTATGACTGCTGTCACAGTGTGTGTTAGAAAGTGTTT